GAAACTTAAGCTCTTAAGTGTATTGACACCCCAACTGTGAGAATGTCATAGCTTTCCCTGTATTATTGAGATGGGTTTTATTGTTGTCACTTGTACACTGAGTTTTAAACCATTTGCAAAAATATAAGAATAAGCTTTTTATATATTAGTTAAACTGTTTTAATTATAAAGCAACAACAACACAAGTGTGAGTCTTACTACAAAGTAAAGATAGTAAGAAAGAAAAATATAAAATTCTTATGTGGTACTGGTACTACTACTAGTAGTACGTACAAACCACACAGGTTTATCATTCTAAATATTGAATCATATTGTTATTATGAACTAAATATAAAATTACACTAAATTATTTAACTTAAATCTAATAATTTAAATGCAAAAGAATATAAAAAATCATAAACTCTTTCAGTTCAAAGTGCTAAGCCTAATTCACGTAAAGACCATACATTCGCCACTTGATAGACCTTAACCCTAATATTCATGGATCAACTTCTATCCTAAAAATTATATCTATTTTGAGTTAATTTTTCAATATAATGATTTATGTAAATAGATATATATGATACAGCATGGCTTAAGCTACTATAGAAAAATAATAAAAGTCACATACATCCCATGCAGTTTTTCCAGAAGCAAATTTTCTAAGGCTTATAACAAAGTACTATTGACCAATACTAAATACAACCTCTACATAAAATGGCAGTTATTATAATAAGCACCACCCACATTCATATTATAAAATCCAGAGAACAGTGTTTCATCATGCGCTTTGCTTATCATCCTATGATTTGTCAAATGTGAAATACAGCGATTGGAATAACATGGTACTGAAATTGACACCTTCGACTAGGGTTAGCTTAAAGTTTTGCAGCTGAGGTTTAACACACCCAGATGCTGTTTTATAAATAAAACAGACTAGAAAAGATTAAGATACCAATCAAAGATGACAGAACCAGCATTAAAAGTGCAAGAAAATTGAAAAAAAAAAATTTTTTCTTATGCTGCTATTTACAAGAATAAAATCTGAAATCCAATAAAAGATAAGTTCGCTATAATTTTTTCAATTCACAAATGTGATTTTGCCTTCAAGATAAGGCAAGGTAAGGGGTTAACAGAGTGCCATTCAACATGGTATTATGTATTTGATGTCAGTTATCAACTATTCAATTTACCCTACACTGATAATTTAGCAAGAGTTTGTAGTAAAGGAGAATAAATGTCAGATGCAATTTACAGGGATACAGAAATAAACTGTAGCTATGCATTTTGGAAGTTCTAGAGGTTATGCAAGCTATACAACAAACAAAAGTATCTTTATTCTTCACATAAATGTCACCTTGCAACATGACCTTTCGGTGTCTGACTCAGACTGACATTGTTAATTCACAGACATATCTTGAGTACAAATTCCTTTTAACTCATCTGATCTTTTTGTACATTTTACCTAAAGCCTGCCACATTTTGGGTAAATATATATAGTAAATTTGGTATTACAGTGAATATTTTTTCTTCAATATGAGGTTGGTCTAATGGACCAAGCCTATGCACATTCAGCTTAAAGGCTCTAGTTCTAATAACTGTTTACACCAATCAACTAAAACATATATTACTTTTGATAACATATAGCATATAGTGAGTTTAACTATCACTAAAAATACCTTAAAAAACAAAGATGTATAAAGGCTATATAAATACAAAGAATGAACTCAATCTAATCAAGGCACTTCTAAATCTAGTATATAACTGCATTTTAACTACCTCTTGTTGTATGCCATATAAAGTTCTGTCAATTTTAATATACCTTTTGTTTCTTATATGTGTAAAAAAAAGAAATTATAGTTATAAATTGCTGAGTCCACATTTAGACCTTTAATTTGACACAAATAAGCAATATTATATAACTTTGTTATTTTTGCCTATACTGGTCTGAAGGGCTTTGGGCTAAATTTCTGTTCTTTGCTATAATTTATGATATAACCCCATTTAAATACTTTTAAAGATAACTGGCATATCATAGAGAATTTAACAAGTACAAGACTATGATGAAGTACACTGAACACTTTTCAATGTTTTTGATAGTTAAAAATATCTTTCCTGGATTACATTTTAAATCACCACAATCCACTCTCAAGTTGAATTCTATTACTGGTTTGGCAATGAGAATTGAGTTTAAAAAAGTTCAAAATACTTTCTTTTCAATTAGTTAAGAGAAGCAAAAGTTTGTTCAGATGTTTTGAGAAATAACCAGGTTCCTTTGACAAATACATTAAACTAAATTTGACATGTAGAAATTTAAACATCTCATTCACATAATTAAGTTCAAACTGAGAAATTGGATAGTTTATTAAACCTTTTTGTAGTATTTCTGTACATATTCCTATTTATTAATTATTTTAGTACAGTTTTTTAGCTATGAAATGTGATTTTCTGAGTTGTGTATATGCAATTAGAATTCAAACTGTTTACAAAACATTACATGAGACAATTGTGTTTGTAATAAATATTATAACTCATGTTTGCATTTCTTGTTTTATTTCATCGTTTGTGTAATATTAATCACCTACTAACCTGAAAACTCTAAAAACTGTGATGGAAGGGTAATTCTAATTCGAGAAGACCAAAATAAATTCATATTATGAAACTTTTACAGATGAAGATGATATAGAAGGCTATAAACAAATTGTATAATCATACTTTAAAATAGTTTCAATTACTTTTCAATGATTTATTGGTATTACACTAATATGTTTTACTTATTTTCAGAAGATATTTAATGTCTGTACATGTACTTTTGAAAAAACTCACTTTAGACACATGGATGCACACAGTAGCAATTTTTATTTGATTCTTCAAGTACATGCAACTTATCTCTGTTTAGGTCAATGCTAAAAAAAGTCCTAAGCAAACACTCATACATTCACATTGACAAAAGCACATTATATTCTCTTTTTACTATGATTATTATTCTTATTATCCTAATAAGAACAAAGAATTTAAAATACTACTGTATTTGATATAAAACTTACCCCAATGCTATTCTGTACAAGTTCACTAATGTCTTTAATATTCCTGAAATTGGATTTTGTAATAGTCCCAAATCTGATTACTAAATCTCCAACTTGTAGCTCCTATAAAAATTAAATATAGCTAAATATAAAACAATATATATATTAAACCTAAACAATTGTTGTAAAATATTTAACCACACATGAAATACAGGATTCATTTATATACAAAGATCATACACTTACCAGCACAAGAAATTTAAGAATTTTTTCAAACCTTTTAAAAACTAAAGCTAGACTACATAATTTCATTGAGGATGCTAATGTAGTGAATAGTTAAAAAACTCTCTGGATACTAGATAATATGAACAATTTAATGCTAAAGGTATTGCCAATTAATACATGTGCATTACAGCTGAGTGAATTAAATGATATAATAAATTATTTTTTAGCAGCAATTACCTCAATTATTGTCACGTAAACTGATTGATTAACCAAAATTACAGTTATACAAGTTGTAATGAAAAATAATCAACTAATTAAAATAATGTTTCTGATAATTCCAACCATCAATTCATTGAAATTATGATTGAATCAACTGTCATGAAAAGAATCAATTAACTGAAATTAGGGTTTCTAATTATTATTATATTTTATTATTCCAACTATCCAAATAAACAAAATTTTGATTAAATCGATTGCCATAAAAATAATAAACTAATTGAACTGCTGACTGATTAGAGGAAAGGCAACTGGCTAAGCATCTGCCATCAACTCTTTTTGTTTGTTTGTACATATCAGGGTTTGAGGAACATTATTAATTAATAAATTCAATGTAATTGAATTAATGGGTCATTGATTAATTAAACAGTAAATACCAATAATCACCCAGCTTTAATATACACACATGCTATTTTATTTCTGTGCTTCATTTAGTATTAAACTATGGGTATAATAATATATACTTTTATAACAGATGGCTTACTCTTAATGGCAAACAGATGGACTGGGTAATAAATATTGAGATACATGTAACAGAAAACCTTTTAACTCTAAGTCAAATTTTTTGATGTTGCAGTTCACAATTTTATTGTCAAAATGTTAGAAAAAACAATGAAGTTTTAGAATGACAGAATAACATGAAACAAAGTTTTCATACAGTGTACTTGTAAAATTCACAAATATCTTATATCAGTTAGCTAAGGATCGGACATAAATAAATTAGGAATAGAAGAGCATTGACACACACACACACAGTTGTATATACATATATATACACACACACAGATGTACCCAGTAGTGGATGCAGGGGTGGGGTTCCAGGAGTTCGAACCCTGCCCATTCCAATGCAAAGTGCTCTCAATATTCAACACCTATATTTTTCATCATTTTAGGATTTTTTATGTTTGCCTTCTTACAGACTGAATCCTGCCCTTCAAAAAATTCTGTATCCACATCTGAATGTATCATACTTTGCTAAAGTGTTTGCAACAACATTCAAGAAGCAGGCATATATAATATTATTAGTGTGTTTTCTTCTCAGCATATGCTTCAGACAGGTTTTTAGTATATGTGTGGGCCTAATTCTTTACAGTAGGTGTCTGTGACTTGTTGGTGATAAATTTCAACAATAAACAAACAGCACACAGTCCACTTGTTTTAAAATAATATATTAAAACAAGTGAAATGTATATACAAATGTTCATTACACAGTTAATTACCACAGTTGTATCCAGAGCTTTAAATAATTGTCTCTTTTTCGTCAAAGTTCACACAAGCTGGTTCACTTTCTTTAGAACATAATTAGACGAATGCTTTCTTCTCTACTGTTATTACAGTACAATCTGTGATACTTTCACTTTAGAAATTGCACTATATGCTCTTTATGGCTAAACTCACAATCATGCAGTTTTGATCTATCTATCTGTCTAACTAACTGACTACATTTTAAATGCATATTTATAGACTGACTGAGGCCTAGAATGTTCCACACACTACAAGATACTATGATGCATTAATACTCAATTTAAACAATGAGAAAAACTCAGAAGCTTCTAGTAACATGATGCAATAATACAACAATCACCAATTCACAACTGAACTACACAAATTATGATGATTTGAAAACAGTTACGTAAACAAACCTACAATAAACTATCACTTCTAAAAATAAGTAAATTTAACACTCATACTATACTTAAACCATTTAAATTATAACTCTTGCAATAATTGTAAATGGAAACAATACTGTATATCTACCAGGTTCACTTTCTGTTTCTCATTATATATAAGGAAAATCAAGCAATTTATATTGCACCATACTCAGAACAGCCTGATGTGAACATTGGACAAGCATTGTTATCTTAATACTTTATTCTTGGACATGCAAGTTTTCTACCAGTACTACAATCAGAGAGCATTTTAGCAGAAACCTGTATTCTATAAACATTCTGATTTTAATGAAATGTAAAAAATAATCAATGATACGTTTCTAAAATGGAGGTCAGTTGAGGAGCAAAGATTTACAGACTGATTTTACAATTACACAAAGTGTAATCAATAAATACTGAACATAGATTTACATATATATATATTCATAATATCTGGTATTATATAATCAATACTAACATATGGCATTAAAGATACAAAACTAATTTGGATTATCTCTGTGATTATAATGCCAGACTTTTATGTTTCTGGAAATGTTACATGAACAATATTAAACAATGTATTAGAAACTCCAGAATGTTTGCAATCCTGTTTCGCCCGTTCTTGCCAATATATTCATGACCAAAATCGAAACATAAGCCATACATTCTGCACTTCATCCCCCACTATACTGGTAAAGATATGACAATGACACTTTTGCTGACTTCACCTCTACAGAACACACACTAACTTTCGTTAAACACATAAATTCCATTCACCCCAACATCAAATTTACCATAGAACACGAAAACAATAAACAGTTATCCTTTCTTAACCTCAAAATTATTAGATCTGACACTGAGTTTAAAACAAAAATTCACCGCAAAAACACACACACTGGTCTCTACATCCCCTGGAATTCTGCTCATGACACCACACAAAAAATCAATACACTTAAAAACCTCATAAACACAGCCACAAGACTCTGTTCAACGGACTACATAAATGAAGAAATTAACCACTTAAAGCATTCCTTTATTCACAGCCAATAAATTCCCACCAGCTATAGTTGAAAAGCTCTCCAACATTCCCCACAATAAAACTCAACTCACGAACAAAATTGACACTAACAAATCCAACAACAGTACATTACACTGCAGTTTACCTTTTGTTTCTGAAACCAGCTCAACAATTATCCACACTTGAACTAAACTAGCCAGTAAACACAATATTCCTGTCAACGTCAAATTCTCACAAAAACCCGGCCCTAAATTAAAATCGTTACTAAACAAAAATTATTTAGAATCACACAATACCAACGTCATTTACAAAATAACATGCAATAACTGCCCAGAATTCTACATAGGAGAAATAGGAAGAAAATTGGAAACCAGATTGACAGAACACAATAAAAAACCGTCCCATGTTTTTCACCATTGTAACTAAAAAAAAAC